GCTTGAGGGGGACGTGTTCGATAGCACCACTTCAAACCAGGTCCGAGCTATTCTGGCCCTGGATCTGAAGGGTGCTTTTGACAACGTCTTCCACGACCTTATTCGTGACAATCTCGCTTCATCTCAGTGTGGCTCACGTATCTACAATTACGTCAGGTCCTTTCTTTCTGACCGCACGGCCACTATTGGGATTGGAGACCTCCGTTCGGACGTCATTCGTCTCACAGGCAGAGGAACACCACAGGGCTTGGTTCTCTCGCCCACTTTGTTCAACGTGGCTATGGCTAAACTCCCTTCCCCATTACAACAGGTTCCCAACATCCAGAATGCCATCTATGCAGATGACATTACAATTTGGGTGACCGAAGGATCAGACGGAACCATTCAGGACGCCCTACAGGAAGCTGTGTCTGTGGTATAAGACTATGCTGCTGCCGGCAGCCTTACGTGCTCAGTGGATAAGTCGGAGTTGTTATTGGTATACAAGCGGCGCCGCAAAACCGCTGATTCTCCTGACATTTCGCTGTTTCTTGATGGCCATCCTATCCCTCTGGTACCACGAATTCGCATTTTAGGCCTCTACCTTCAGTCCGACGGCAAGGCCTCGTACACTACACACCTTCTGGCTCAGCAGATAACTCAAATTACACACATGATCCAACGCATTACCAATCGCAGGAGAGGCCTCTGTGAGAAGGATGTCCTCCGCTTAGTACAAGCACTCATAGTTAGTCGGCTCACCTATTATCTTCCATTTCACAATCTCACTCTAGCTCAAATAAAAAAGATGGACATCCTTCTACGGACAGCTGTGAAGGCAGCTATCGGCTTGCCTCCACACGCATCTACACAACGCCTCCTTCAATTAGGAGTCCATAACACCATAACCTAACTCATCGAGGCCCAGCACAACAGTCAGGTCCAACGGCTCAGGCAGACCCGTCAGGGCTGCGCCATCCTGTCTCGTCTTGGCTACCCGATTCCTCAAAAACCCGCACAAGTACCGCGACATAAACTTGCTTCTACTGTCCGCGCACTCATCAAAGTGCCTCCGATTCCACGCAATATGAATCCCTCCCGCCACGCCGGTCGTCGACGTGCCCGAGTTCAGGCTATGACACGCGTCTTTGGTGATGGTACCTCAGACTTACAAGTACTTTACAGTGATGCAGCACGCTACCCAGAGAAGTCAGCCATGTGTTTAGCCGTGACAGGTGACACAGACGCCCTTGTGGCGTCTGCCACACTTCGCACTACAGACAGTGGTCTGGCAGAGGAGGGAGCTCTCGCTCTGGCAATCGTTCACGCTACGACACTGTCACATGACTCCCCTGTCACTATTGTAACAGATTCACAAGCTGCTTGCCGTGCTTTCGCTCAAGGACTTGTGGCTTCACATACACACAATATCCTCTCTTCTGTCTCACCGTCCGCAATACGTCCTGTGCGTATCGTCTGGACTTCTGGACACGCCTCTCTCCATGGTAATGAACGCGTTCATGCGGTTGCCCGAGAGCTGACCAGCCAGGCTCCATTGAAAGAGCTGTCCAATCCAGACGACGCATCGACAGAACTACTAAACTACAACGCTACGCTGCAGTACTATCGACAGAGCCGTTATACGTATCCTCCCCCTCATCCTCCACTTAACAGAGCAGATGCTGTCGCTTGGCGGCAACTACAGACCAATTCATTTCCTTGCCTTTATATGCTAAATCGCTTTCATCCGACTCTCTACCCCTCCTACTGCCCCTTCTGTGGATCCGTACCGACGGTGTACCACTCCACGTGGGAATGCTCTGCCCCACAGGGCGTGCCTCCTATTCCCAATCCCACCCCTTCCTCTTGGGAGTCTGCACTGCTCAGCTTACGCCGGCAGGAACAGCAGCAGCTGGTCCAGCGGGCTCGCAGGGTCGCGCAAGGCAATGGAGCCCTGGACTGAGGGCCCCACCCAAAGAAGGCTCAGTGTGCATTTGTTATTAATAAATGTTCATTCTCTCTTTCTCTCAGTTGAAGCGCATCGTAAAGTGCCCTTGGCGTCAACCAGATATATTGAATATTGTGAATGCAGCGTTTTAGCGACTCATTAGTAAACGAAGTTTTTTAATTTTAATTGAAAGATGTCTGACTGCGACATCGTTACTTACCGGATGATTTCCAACGGCGTGGCACGTTCGTAGCTGGCGCGTGACCTCGGGTGGGCACCACACCCCCCGCTCAGTTTGAATTTGGCGCTCAGTTTGAAGCTAACACTCATTAAAGCCAGCGTCGTTGCTTTGAGGGAATTTCTTCCGATAAGTTTTAGTAACAAGAACAATAAACTGAATCGGTTCTTAACTAGGCCTTTAGAACTGCGAGATTACGGCGTAGTACGCAAGAAACGGCTGCCGTGAATCTCTCGGAAGTGCACCGGTGACCCACCGTTATAACGATCTCTCGATAGTTAGATAGTCAGCGATAAACCGTTTCTGATACGGCAATCTGTTTATTTATCGAGGTCACTTCCCACGGACGTTCTCGTCTCCACACCTCCTCCCACATCAGATCTACTTCCGGAGCCCCTAAAGGCGACAATTTGAAATGGCATAAGGAACCTGACATATGAGTAAAGATTAATCGCCGACAAGCGAGGGCAATATCTCGTAGGCAAAAGGTACAGTGGCTAGAATTCTAGCCACTGTACAACTTGCGACCGGCGAACCTCCGGGGAATGCATTTCCGCGCGTTTATGGCTGCCAGTTTTTGCGTACGACGCCGTAATCTCACAGTTCTGAAAGCTTCGCTAAAAACTGATTCAGTTTGTTATTCTCGCGGTCGTAGTTTACCTGAAGAAACCTCCTCAAAGTAACGACCGTGACTTTACTTGTGGTTCGCTTCAAAATAAGCGCCGAAATGGATGAATAGATGGATGGATGTATGTGGCTGAACTGGTAGGTGTTCTGTGGCTGTACCCTTTAGATCGGGCGGCTAACGCCACCTAGCCGTGAGCGTTTGCGCGCCACGCTGCGGTGGTGTGGCGCCCACCCGAGATCCGCGCGAACTACAAACGAGCCACGCCGTTGGAACGGGCGTGCTAGCCATGTCGTCGCTGTACTCTAGCTGTACGATGGGCTGGCTCGAGTCTTCGTCAGGTGAGAGTGATGTATAGCTTTCCCCACATCAGGGTTACTGCTGTCGCTGACATGGCGTAGTCGCGGCATAGAAGCCCAGCCGCATTTTCGGTCGAGGCGAAAACGCTTGAGGGCCCGTGTGCTTCGATTCAGGTGCACGTTAAATAACCCTACGTGGTCGAAACATCCGGAGCCCCTGCTACTACGGCGTCTCTCGTATGGAATTTTGGGTACGTTAAACCCCAACAATTATTATAGCCTTCGCGCCGTTCTAGTACGCTCTAAACGGTGCGTTTTTGCATGGGCGGCCCGTGTTGGTGGGGGAAACAAGCGATCCTCGAATTAAAAGCACCGTGCGCCGTCTTCAGATCCCATCATGTGGTAGCTTAATACTGGCTCATATACCAGGGTCGGATAAGAGATCCCCGTTTATGGCTAAGTTTTGTACCGACGTATGACCATGATCCTATAATGTGATTGCGGAAACCGAAAATGTTTTTAATGAGCACGTGGGCGTACGGGAGGCGCAATTCTGGTCCAAGGCTTCCAAGTTCTCGTCAAGGCTACAGCCCTCTGAGTGTTTGTCTTAGGCTAAACAGGCACATTTTCAATGAAACAGCAGAAAAAAGAATCCAGCCTCTACCTACATCAACGAGAAGACGCTCTGTACAACCGTGGGCACACCAAAATGCTTATGCTGTGACCTTTGTTGTTGCAGCAGTGTCGACGTCCCTAGGGACTTGTTTGGACAGATGAGGAAGCTCGCTCTGCAGTAGGAAAAACTTCAACAGTAGGGTTTGCCCTCTCAGCTCATCAACTCCAGGAATTATCTACTTCTAGCTGAAACTGCAGAAGAGTACACTTTCTTCACTGCTCTAACATTTTTAAAAAGTGGGCATATTTGGCCACTTGGTACATGCTTACCAACCTCACACTTGTGCCGAATTCCCATCCGGTGGTTGTTGCAACTTTCCAAGCTGGTCAGTTTCAACATGGTCATGCAACGGGGTCGTTCGTGTAACACGCAAATTTCATGCATCTGCTCAGCGACTGTGTATCAGTTACAGCCTTTAGAATAAATGCAAGCTCTGCCTACACTGGTCGCCTGTCCAACCCAAGCAGGATTTGCACTAACTGTCTTACTGAATTTCAATCATTTACGCAACATCAGGCCTGATTTCATGAAATTCAGGCATATCATCATTTGTCCGTACAGGCTTGTGTCAATTTCACTAGTTTTTAATTTCACAGCGCTCTTTCCGTCCTTGTCTCTTCTTCCGTAGTTACGTCGTAACTACTCGTAGTCTTGTGCTGAGCAAATATGTTGATTCCTAATCACCAACTAGCCCAAGCAGCTGTCTTACTAAATATTTCACTTCAACAATTCCTACTTCACTTCTCTGCGATATGCAGCATTTTAACAACAAACAATTTATGTGCCTAGTATTTGCATTACCAGCAAAAATGTTCTTACAGTTAGAATGGAGATCTCCAATCGTTGCTCTGCTGCACAGATAAGACAGGCGTGCTACAGTACTGGAGGCGGAGAGTGTATTTATTCTTAGGCTATAACAAACTATGGTCACATTTCTGCAATTAAAAAAAGCAATCACTTCAGATAAACTTGTCCAGTACCACGGTGGTCAGGAGACTGCAGTGCCATATTTTTCGATTTTTGTGGAAAGCAAAAAGAGGAGAATACAATGCTACTTGGCAGGCATGCCATGACGATGCTGAACATAAGGCTCTGCCAACACAGATACCTAGAGACTATCGGTCCACGCAGTCACTCAACTTGCTGAGAATAGCCAACCTGTTGTGCCACCCGCACTGACGCCCACAGCACAGAATGCAAAATGAACATTATCAACTTTATGGAAAACCACACACTTACTGATTACAATGGAACAGCTAGTTCATGTTTAATTTTGCCCTCGATTGCATGATCATCTCTTGCAGAAAAACAAAGGGCAAGAGGGAACTGATTAAAGCTTACCAAGTTCAGGTAAGTCAACTATACTAAACAGAAAAAAGTTGTAATGCACACAAATGAGGCTACAAATTGAATACGCCACAAATTGGCAACTGCATGTAAAATGATAGTTTCATCCACAGTAAATTATGAACTGAACTGGTTGTCAACTTCTTTGAATACACTAGCTCTAATAAACAAGATTAACTGGCGATTTCAAAAATGATTCTGCAGAAATATACTCCATAGTGGTAACTCAACCTACACAAATTAACAGCAACTGTATCATTGCAACCAAGAAAAACTTGCTAGACAAAGATTGACATGGCAAAGGACACAGCATATATAAAACCAATACTTCACAGAACTTTAACTACAGCAGCAGCAAACAGAAAAGATATTCAGCAATTTGTATATTTTATTAAGTAAACAAGACTTTGCAACATGGGCAAAATGAACAAGCAAAAGAAAAAAAAAGGTGGAGAAACTCGCACAAAAAAAAGAACATGATAATGAAAAAGCGTTTTATAAGGCAAGGTTATCTTGAATTTTTTAGAATATGCACATGCAAATATACGGGAAGAAAGTAATTGTAAATTCAAGAATTTTGGTACTGAAAATATGAACTCATAACATGCCAATAGTGTAATAGCAAATTATAGCGTTAATAAAAAAGCTTTATTCATCTTCCATCAGACTTTGGAACCTCAAAATTTGTCTGTTTTTCAAAGCGTCCGGTTTAAGGACATGCAATCTTCATTTACTTTGGAAGTCAGGGTTCCAACATGTAAGCTTTAATCAGAGGCACATTTTTTTCTCTTTTTTTGTTATTGCACTGTCACCTCAATCGTGCACACGAGGCTGAACCAGTTTTGCATTCTTGAGCTTTCCACTAAAGACGAGTTCAAAGGGAAAAAAATGAAAGTACAGGTCATTAAGAGGACAAATGAGGAAAAGGTAGAGAAAACTTGTGGAAAGAGAATGGCTTTTCATTTCAAATTGGCACACAATAGTCAATGCAAATGAACCCACGCATGTGGAAAGGAAATAAGCAAATGCATACAACTGGGAGGCTACAAATAGAAGAGGGTGCCGTTGAGTCGTGAACAGTGCTCGCCATGCAGAGACTGGCCGGCCAGGAAGGCCAGCTTGTGGGCGTACTGGCAGGGAGCCGGAACGCGGATGGTGCCAGGCCAGTTGAAGTAAAGGTGCGTCAGCTTGTACGCCAGGCGCTGCATGTGGTCCGGCCTGAGGCCCGTGGTGTCGTGGATGATGTTGTAGTGCGTTGGTGACACGGTCCCCTGGCGCACGCTCTGCGAGACGAGGAAGAAGTCGTAGCGCTCGGGCCTCGTTACCTCCCTGTCGATGACTGTGCCCGGCAGCGGGTTGCAGAAGCTGCCGTCGGACGTGTGTGCGAAGAAGCGTGTAGAGATGCGCTTGGTGACGACGACAAAGGCCAGCTTTTGCTCCATGCCCGGGAAGAGACCCTCCAGCGAGTCCACAATTTGCTCAATCTCCCATTCTTTCACCTGTGCGAAAGGATGACGAATAGTTAGCAAACTGACCGCGTGCTCAGACGGGCATAGTTACCCATGAATATACTAAGGGGGAACAACTCTGGCGCTGGTGTTTGCAGGAGCTGCAATGCATGGCACTTCTACAAACATGGGAATGATGGGTAGTACACAAATTTGTCTAATCTTTGTACATTCAGCTCAGTTTGCCGTAGCATAGCTTTGAGCTAATTTGTCAGGAAATGACAATTGGCAAATGTTCAGCGGTTGCACTTTGCCACCTTTACTTTTTAGGCCCACCAATACAATCAGGTCACAATGTTTGAAAGGGTCCACTCTTATGTTCGAAAAACCAAAACACTGCAATAAACAACGCCAAGTGCGTTCAAAGCCTGCAAGCACAAGCATTCGGCAAATTTGTATACTGCTTCCAATTCCCATGGTTGCTCAACGATCGTAGCTTCAGAGTCCCCTCTAGCTATTTCAGAAAACTATGTACGAGAGTAGTAGAAAGGGGGCAGTGAATTCATTTAGGTTGATAAACTGTACTCCCGGAACTCTCATATCCTTACTTTCAGCATCACAGTCTGACTTGAAAGTGACGACTTCGCCATCACTTTCACTCTTCAGGTGAATAAAACGAGAGAATGAAACTGTGGAAACGAAAGGAGTAAGGGCATTTGCTTGGTCAGGGTCTGCCATGCCTGGCTATTGGCGCATATTTCAAGTCTCTTGGATAGGGAGAGGCTCAGGGGTTTTCAGGATAAAAAATAAGTGGGTCACCGACCACAGCTAAGACAATACGGTAAAGTTTTGACATTGGCATGGCAGACATGTTAATCAAACTTGTTTCCTTTGGGGGGAGAAATCAAATTCCTAGTACACTCTCAAGGCCAACCGGAGTATTTGGTGTGCCTTTCAGCCACACAATAATTTTCGTCTGGTTCGCTTGTGTTTCCTTCCTCAAAAAACTGCGAGCTCGCCACTTCGCCATGACGATGCCACGTCAGGCTGATAGCCAATTGCAGTTTGTGGTCGCAAAGTACGGGATGATTTTGCAAGAAAAGCATTCAAGATAAATGACGATTCTTTGCGGCATCATTAAGGAGCATTGGCTGTTGCAATTTGTGTGAATGAGGGCTTCAGCTTGGTGAAAGTGAAAAAAAAAAAAAAGCCATCTATATTCCTGTATTAGGCCAAGCCTTGCTCAACACAAACCCAACCGATATTTCTCATAATATATGTCGACTATAGTTGGGAGAGACCGATAATGGAAAGCATCGCCACTCATTTAATTCAGAGCCCTGAACATGATTCACTCCCTTGCCTTCATTAGAAGTGCAAAACGCTTGCACACGCTGGTTAAGACAAAGCCAAATAGTCTCTGCTCTGGCCGCAAAACTCATCTTCAGGAAAAGCATGGTAATAGCACTGTTGCAATGTTATTTTCTAGTAATCATGATGCGATTTGACAAAAAATTTTTATGAAACATTGTCTAGATGGCACCTTACCAATGTGTAATCGACGTGTTCAGTGAGGCTTGGTGAGGGAACGTCTAAACATGTTTCAGTGTTTGTTTTCTTGACATCTTACAATTTAGACAGCCACAGGGTCCGTATAACAAGCTCTCTACAAACACACTCGCTCAGGTACACACACTGACCAGCGTTGAACAGGCTGGGCCTGGTTCAACGACGATTATTATAATTGCAGGAGGAAATATCGGATTCTCCATGTTTTTTTAATGATGTATGAAAGGTAACGGACAGTAGCTGTCATGGCTTTCAAATGGGCACTTTGCTAACACATTTATTTGTTTATTTGGGAATGCCTGATCGGCCCGTAAAGAGGCATAGGGTGAGGAGGGGCTACGGTACAATTCACTGAATAATATACTAGTAAATGCATACGAGGACTCGTAAAATGTCACAGAACAAAGCAATGTCCATGTTGATGTGCAATACAGATGTTAGAAACGCGACTAAAGTAACATAAAAGAAAATAAAGGATAAGTGAAAAACAAACCAGCAAGTAGCATAGCATGACAGTGTGTATTGCCTAAGAAATTACTTGACAGTGCCTAGATGTAATACATTTCCATGAGTACAAGCACGCACTCGGGGGGAAAGCGAAAGCTTGAATAGATGGGTAACATGAGACGCAGGTATGCTACTGTGCTCACCTGAGGGATCTGGCCATCCGAGACGCCGTCGCGGAAGAAGATTATGCGCTCGGGAGAAGTACCATTGTTTTCCTGGGAGTACTTGCACAGGGAGTCTTTAAGGTGCTGAGCGAGCGAGCTGCCAAGCTCCTGGTGCGACGCGTGGAACGACACGCGCGAGTACCAGCGCGTGAATGTGCGGTTCATGCTGGCGACAAAGGCACCCGCAGAGCGGTTGCGTGAGCCGGCGTCATGGTACGTGTCGTAGCCGATCACCATTGTGTTCGCCAGTGGGATCTCCAGGCACCAGGCCTCTCCGCCCAACTTGCAGTTAAGCTGAATGGCCACCTTGGTGGCCACTGACCGGATGTTCTTGCGATTCCCGATCGTGCGAGAGAGAATAACCTGCAAGAAAGTCGCCCCGACAAAGTAAGATGTATGCTGGCAATTTGCTCACTTGTGAATGAACACATGACGAAGCACCAGCCCCCTTTAACAATCACGCAAGAACGATAAGTTTCGGTGGGCTGGTGATTGTTGATGGCAATCGCGACCTGCCTGTCGCAAGATGTTTGTTCAAAGTTGCTGGGAATGGTCGAATGTTTATCAAGGCGAGTTCCCTGAGTGTACCATACTAACAAAATGTTTGCATAAGCAAATCAAATGATGATGAAACGAGTTGTGCGTTCACTTCATTCTTGAGGATTTCAAGTGACTAAAGGAACAAGGCACGCAAAAATATTGAAAAAAAAATTACTTTTCGCTTTATTTGAAATCTTCAGCCTATATTAAATTGGATGGAATCAGCCATCATAGTAAGATTTTTCTTCTCTAACAAAGACTTATTTCAAAACTTGTGTAGCGGCTTGCCATTCCCTTATTCTTACGTAGCGAAAAATTCCTTGCAATTCAAGCATCATAGCCGTACAGAGAAGTTACAGTTCGCAGGTATGAATGCATTTGGCACAATCGGAAAAGAATGGGCCCATTGCTGCGAAAACGAAAGCAAGCAGAAGCATCAAACTTTCTGTCGGGGAATCTGTCGTCAAACTTATGTCGGGGAAAGACCAGAGGCTGGACAAATGAGAGTTCTTGTTTTGAAAGCAAATTGAACACAAATAGAAGTAGTGGCAGAAAGTAATCCAGCACAAGCCAAATGGTGCCTTTCACAAAGTGACTGATGTACAGAATAATTTTAAAGTTGCAATCCTTTCACAATCAAAACAATTTTTACATGCGAGTACTCACACCATGCTTGTTTACTTCACGAAAAGAGCTGAACCTGAGCTGTTAAATTTGCCATACATTATTTGGAGTCTAGAACATTTTTGAAACGTCTCATAAACATTAATACTTATGAAATATATTTGCCAGACCACAATCAATGTAAATATCATGTAGTAAACAAAGGCATGATGCCAACATGAGCTGTGAAATGGGTATAAATAAGACACCAGTGTGCCTACATTAAAATACGGGTTGATAAGAAAATGCATACGAGGTACCCTGCTTATATAAGATGCATGTCATATAGAAGACGAGAATTGCTGCCCAGAGCATGCCTCTTATAAAGGGGTTTAACTGTACTGGTATTTGTGGCAGAAATCAAATCAAACCAGAAAAGCTGAGCTGACTTCAGAAGTAACCGCAGCCCCACATAACTGTGACCAAATAATCAGTAGATAATAATCGGTATGAGATAAAAGTAATCATTTTCACATTTCATCACAGTAGCCTACATGTCTAGCTGAAGAAAAAAAAAACAGCCAAATGAGCTACATATATGCTTAATATGCCGGTTCTTGTCGCACAAATGTGATCAGAGCCGATGACGCTGCACACTAGTAGGACTGTGGGATGATGGCACAATTTTTTTTTTTCAGTTTCTTTAGGATGCACCAGTCTGTAGAACAGTAAAAGTCAAGTCATTCTCATTCTTTCAGTGTCGGTTCAATGTAGGTCTGGAGCAATTATTAACAAAAATTACTGCTTGCAGCAGCAATTCTCTTTTCGAGCAGTTTGGAGCAATGGGAGCGGCATTTCCACCCCTGTAAGGATCAGTGTAAGCAGCGTGGCAAGTGCTGTCAAATAGTATATGCTTTACCATAATTTTCAGCATGTTAACTCAACGTGATGCACTTGAAATATTCATCTTTTTCACATTGTTACAGCAAATATTCAGTTTGAGGACCGGATTGAGTGATACCAGATTCCATTTGTTGTTGAATACCCTCACATCCCTTTACCAGCAGGAAGGAATGACGAGCGTGCTCGAGCACTAGCAATCCCAAGCGTGCTACGTGCAATTTCAAAGCTGAAGTTATACTGCGCCCGCATGCGTGACAGTTGCACTTCCACAGTGACTACGAACTACGAGTACCTGGGTGTGGATGCCAAGGTCCACGCAGGCCTGTTTCTTGATCATGTCATAGCGGTCCTTGCGGTTGTTGGGCACCACGATTAGTGCCAGCTGCAGGTCCCCTGAGCCGCCAACTTCGTGCAGGGCGCGCACGTAGTTGGCCGCCCGGTCGTCCTCCAGCTTCAACACCTTGGGGTGGCCCATGTGCAGGCCCATGGGCGGGCACACGCTCATGAGGGTGCGCACGAACTCTGTCACATTGGCGTCGTCACGCTTGTGGCACATCACGAGCCAGGTTTCGATGGCGACTGCCACGTGCAGCCGCTTGTCTCGCATATCACGCGAAAAGTCGGCCGTCTTGGGGTCGCATTTGTACACCTGCTGTCCCTGCATCACCTTCTCGGGATACAGGGTGCGGGCATCAATGGAAACCAGTGAATCGCTGAACGTCAACCCCCACTGCTCCATCTCTGCGCGTATGGCATCGTTGCCATTGATTCGCTTGATGAACTGGAGCAAGTTCTGCACGCGCTTTGGCGGGTCGATGCGAGTGTGCTGGGCCAAGTCTCGCATCACAGACACGTTGGCACGCATCTGCAATGGGGAAAGAAAATAAAAATTAGAAGACTTTTCTATTTCTACGCAATAGGCAACTAAAGCAACTACTACTATGCATAATTCTGGCACCCCTGCGGGACGACAACACACTACCTGTGCGACTGCATGTCCGCAAAAGTCAAGTATGTATGTTCTCATGACCCGCATTCCGCACAACAGCAGCAGCACCCTCAAAAACCTTCCCAGTCGTCCCAGCTATGCCAGTGGCCTCAGCTTTCCAGTCCCTATGTGGGATTTGTCACAATTATAGAGCTGCAGTCATCGTTGTCAAGTCAGTGATGGGGCTCAGATGTCTGCAGCACAGGTTGTATCAAATCTACATCCTTTCCTTCCCCCACTTCCTTCCCTGCAGCTTATTTACTGTAGACTTGACTGAGATAGTCACGAGGTGCTGTGATCGAGGAGGGCTGTCACGTGACCTTTGGCAGGTTGCAAAAGACAGGGCTACCTTTCTTTTTCTCATAATAACACAGTTTTGAGCATCGATCAGTTATAACATGGGAGATGTCAAGTAAAATTTGCTGCACCTGCTACCTCACTGTGAGTAAAGCAAGAGAGTGCCATTTGACAGCCTCTATTCACCAGGAACCATTTTGAATTGTGAAATAGTTCGATTTCTACCAGCCAAGGTCTCTACACCCCTGCATTAAATAGCACGCAAGACTCTCACCTCATCAGTCAGCCCCGTGAGAACGCACAGCTCGGGCACCAGGTAGATGTTGTCGGTGCGGCCAGCACGTATGTCTTTTTCCTTTGGACGGCACACTAGCAGTGGCTGCTTGGCATCTCTGATACGTTTCTCATACTGGTCCTGCACCAGGAATTACACTACACTGTCAACTTCAGGATTATCTTCAAAAAGTTGTCATTGGCTGGCAAAACAGGCCGAGACAAGGCAAGAAGAGACAAAGCAAGAAAACCTAAACGCATTGAAGACTAAACATCATATTATAACACAAAACACAAGAAAAGATGTCGGCTCCAGCAACAGCCGTTGCTGTCATGTGCATATGATTTGTATTAAGCAAGAAAGCTCACAGTCGAAGCGTGAACCATCAAAGCACCACTGCCTTTTACACGTAGATGGCAAGCTTGCTGCCACTCCGTAGGCAGTGCCGACATTCTTTTTTTTCTAGTTGTAAGTTTGCTAGTGCCGTCTTCTTGGCCTTGCAGCAGCCAATACAAACTGCTGCAAGGCCACCTAAGAGTTTGATAACAAACTGGCTTCAGGCAGAGGCACAAGAAAAGTGCCAGACCGCTTATTAGGGACCTAAACTTTACACTGATAAACAAACTTCTCTGAGGTGGAGCCAAGTGTTCATCAAGCGTTTTGCAATTTTGTGGTACATCCAGGTTTTTAACCCCGTCACATTATATATTACACATTTCTAACTGCTGCATTTCTTTTTCGCTGTCCCGTGAAAAACGTATTAGATGTTCTGCGGTATCGAATCGGAAGGATGAGAAAAAATGCAAGAGTGCCACTCACACACAGCGGCTCGTTCAGTCTTTCAAGGTCTGGTCGCACCCAATTGTTAAACTTTATGCATTGACAAGTGCATAGCGGGCTTTTGCCTTCACACGTTGCAGAGAGAGCAACATACTATCGACTCTTTGAATAGGACTTCTAAGGGTAGGTCAGGACTGTCCGATCACGAGACTGATTCAATATAACTCATCCTTTCGGCCACATTTCCCACAACAACAACAGTCATAACCTAGCTTGCTTGAATTTACTTTTTTTCTTTATACTTCCTGAAGTGATAAAGAAAAGACCGTGACTATGGTGACAAAATTTAGCCTTTCTTTCGTAATCTGGATAAAATAGAATGTGCATTTACATTTATTGCATGTGTAAGTCTCAAAGGCAAGCAAGTCAGACCTTTGAACTGAGAAAAGCAGTTGCGATTGTGCTATGCTGTCTCCTTATGCTTAGGCATATCCCCCACCCCCCTCTGCTTAATCCTTTACTTATTGCAGGGTAAAAATAGCAAACGCTTCAGCAGGGCACGACTTTTTGCTGGTATGCTACCACACTCACCTACTACTGTTTACAGCATGTGTGGTGTGTATGTCCTATCAGCATTGCAGATCTTATGATCATGATTATGTTTCACAGCATTTCCTACATTACCATTTCATGACGGAGACATTCTGATTGGCTAAAGACAACCAGACAACCAAAATTGGGAAGGCATTTTTAGTACTTGGAAATGATAAGTTGTAATGTAGCGACACCCAAAAGCTACCCAATTATGGGTCAAAAAAATGCTGAGATGCAGAGAATGAATGCAGTGAGTGTGCGAACAGATCGAAAGAGAAAGTTGCGAGAAGGGGATCTGGAGGAGATTATGCAATCAATCAGGACTATGAGTTGCATAAACCAAGAATAATGAAAGTAAAAGCCATTGCCCCGAGCACCACCTGACATGTTAAAGTGCTACCAAATAACATTTCCATTGTGCCGTGCATGGGCATGGCATGAATCCAAAATAACGCAATTACCCTGACTGTGGCATCTAGATGTTTTAATGCAATAGCGTTAGAGCGCGCTCCGGCAGAAACAGCATATCTTTCAGAATTGTAAGACGAAATGCTGCCTTTTTGTTCAACCCTTCCAGGAAACACATTTAAAACTGGGTTCAGTTGCCAAGTTCGTTAATTCGGGTTGATGAAAATAACAATTTTTGAAAATGGAAATATTTTCTGTATTAAGAACTTAGTAAAATCAGGTTTTGCTTAAGTTTTCAACTGTACCATAAATATTGGTTGCCAGTCTCTCTGAAGTACTAAGAACACAAAGTTGAAGCACCCAAGACAATTAAAGTACTGCAAGAAAATGTAGCCGGGCCATCCAACTCTTTTCTGAGAGAGACTCATTTAACTGTACTGAACTCCAGTTCCATGGTAACTGAAAAACTGCGTTCCGTATACACTTGGATAAGGGCCATGCTCGTGTAAAAGCTGCCCCGCCGCCGTGGTTAATACTGGGCTGCTGACCCGCAAGTTACGGGATCGAATCCCGGCTGCGGCGACAGCATTTTCGATGGGAGCGAAAATGCTATAGGTTCGTGTGCTCAGTGCACGTAAAACAACCCCAGGTGGTCCAGGTGGTCAAAATTTCTAGAGTCCTCCACAATGGCGTCGCTCATAATCATATGGTGGTTTTGGGACGCTAAACCCCACATATAAATTATCAATCATGTAAAAGCTGCGCCACCAACTTGGCTATCGGAATTTCGAAGGAAAAAAAAAAAATCCCTGGCAAAGGCAGTGTTGTCGTGTCTTGCGTACGGGACATTTCGAGAGAGCCACCAGATGGCTATAGGTGTCTGGCGGCTACGTCCCACAGCGCGATCTGTGAGCCAGAGATGGCACGTATAAATAGGTTTTTCCATGCGTGGATTAAAAATTAAACAAAAAATTTCACACTTTTGTGGAAGAGACCATCGAAATCGGGGAAAAGAAAAGTGCGGCCCTTACTAGAGTGTACGCAGTATTTTCATGAAAAATGTACAGTCAATTGTAGCCCAACACTGCAAATCAACCCACGCACCTCGTAGTACTGGATGTATGTCTTGGGCCCTTCTTTTGTCTCAAAGATGCTCAGTGGCGACTTGCTCCAATCGATATCATCGATGCGGTATGTCTTGTTGTTATACGGAGTCATTACAATGCAGCCGGCCACGCGCTTCGTGGCCTCCTCTCTGTAGTAGGGCCCAGATGTGACCTGCGACAGCAGGTCCAGCACACTGTCGCGCCGAAGCACCTGCATTTAAATCAAGTATGGCTGGTTTTTGCATAGTGTACACCTCATGAAGGGATACTGATAGGCTTGTGCAAATACTTGAACGAATAACGTATTCGACTTCAAGTTAATGGAAATTTCAAAGTATTCTAAATAAATGAATAAATGTATAATACACCCCTGTCGCACTGCAAATTTAATGTAATTTACAGCGAATGTCTGTTAGTACTGTCTGTCACATGGAGAAACTCTCATTTGATGACAATGGCATTTTCTGTCAAATGAGTTCCCAGAACCATTCTCATTCGATTTTGGACCAAATGAGTAGTCACGAAGCCAGGGACTTTCAGGGAGATGGCTGTTAACTTGTGGATGCGTAACTCTTATAATTTGTCAATATCTTCCTTACTAGATCAAAACTCATTACTGGTTTGAAAACATAACAGCACAAGCAATACTCTTTTTGAAAAAGCTCTGTTGTCGTTGTTGCCTGTAACGCTTATGTTGATCGTCTGATTTCACGGTGATGACTACACGAAATCACTGCCGCCGTCTTATTTCTCTGGCCAAAAAGTCAGCGCCCTGCTTCAGTTAATTTGACTCGCGCCAGGTCATATCGTCAGCCATGTTGGTTTTAGTGTGTTGTGCAGCCGTGGCAAGTTGTCTAAAATGGCCAAAAAACGACAAAGGTAAATGACTCATCCAAACATAATTATGGCATGCAAGTCAGTAAGGCATAATTTACGTCCACCTCGTAACGTGCTTATTTTAAAGTGACATACCAACCGTCCTCATTCCCACATTATGTAGGATCGATAAATTTTTTTGACAATATCAGTACCACCGTGAAGTTTCACTTTAAAGTTAAATGAACATATTACCCCCCCACAGACTAAGCATTTCTCAAGTTACAAAGCTTGTCATTTAGACTGTCATATGTCCCATATCCCTGCGACAGCTTGAATCTCTTTTCCAACCTCAGGACACTTTTGTGCATAACAAAAATGTACTGCTGCAAAAGTGAGTTAGCCAACCCACGCCCAATAGACTGATGCCATGAAATCTTAGAACTGCCATTCATCGTCATAATTTTTTTTTTATTGCGCTGCGGGTTAGGGCTGTATTTTGGGGATTTATGTCCATACCTCATTCCAAGAAATGGTTTGTCAGATATACATTTTGTTATGTTGCGTGTACAGCATTCTGGATGTGGAGTGCTTTTTATTTTCTGGTGCATTTGCATTTAGTTATCAATTTAATGTTGCACCCAACAATAGGTGGTCAGCAAAAATGAGGCCCCATGTGACAGTTTCCTCTTCAAGTCCCAGCCACGTATCCAAAAGCCAGTTCTTTTGTGTAATTCAAGCCCCGAAATCAATTTTGAGAGCTGGAAACACGCCATGGTCTCCACCTTTGGCACCGCATACTAGAACAACACAGCTGCGACATCACAAGCATAGTCAGAATTTGGTTCATATGTACAATTTGGTTGATAGTGAGGAAACGAGATAGGAGCCGAAAGATTATCCAAGCAGCCAAGAAAATTTTTTTTTCTGCTGCCACTGGAGTAAGGATGTAGTTAACTAAGTAGCCAAACCTCGCAACCGTCGGCGAGAGTTAGAACACACCCAAAGGGTGCGCATACTCTGGGTGTGTGCACGCACCTTGTGCACGGTGTCCGTGACCATCATCACTGCCGTCTCGTACTGGCCAATGGCAGTGATGAGGCCTTGCCACAGCTCAAGGCCGTGCTGCGGAATGGCCGACACGGCACTCTTGTCGAAGAAGTGCCGATTGATTTGAACAAAGTCCAGGTGCTCGAGATTACGCCGCATCTGCGTGTTGAACAGGCGCAGCAGGTCCGGGTTGGTCGGGGCCAGTTCCTGCACCCACTTGATCTTGATAGTGATGGCGGCACCGTCTGTGCGTCGCTGCAAAAGTAACAGTCCAGATCCTCTCTACAAAACAAACTCTGTGGCCATTATATTTGGCATCTTGTCGGGAACAGCAAGAAACACCCTCCTGTCATAGTCTTGCAGTAAGGTTCATTTTTATCAATTTGGTGTTGAAGGTACCAGCTATATCTCTCAAATCATCCGGTCAGCTAAAAGCAAGACTTTGAAAAAACAAATGAAAAAAAAAAAAAAAAACGCACCACTCCATTGACTACTGGCAATACTTACAGAGATTGAAATGCATACCCAACTCGAAAATCCACACATATTTTGTGGCACACAGCAGAAAATTAACACAAAAAAAATGACAGAAGAGCACCTGAGCTCAGGGAACCAAGTATCGTAAAAACCAAGACATAGGTTGGATTCAAGAAGAAAAAAACAACACGGAAAGTCTACCCTTGTTCTATACACTTACACTTATCATTGGCAGAAAAAAAATTTTGAAGTCTCGTAACAATGTGCAGCTGAATTCCAAAAGCCTCCATTGTCATCGTGAGCATCAGCAGCGGCACCGTTGGGCAAGGCTAGGCAAGGCATACAGTGTTCTAGCAACGTACATTTTGCCTTTTTTATCTGCTGTCACTGTTGTTTTCTTTTTTTTCTATTTCCTTCAGAATATAGTGGTAGTCGATGGCAGTTTTACGATAGGCTTAAAGAAAAATGTTATCAAGTATGCTAAAGCGCACGGCGACCTGGTGGCACACTGGGGAAAAGTGTCCCAAAATGTAGAAGCCACAAGCAGTGCATCACATCCTGCAGCACCCCCACCCCCCCCCCCCCGAAAAAAAAAAAAAGCTCAATCATTTTGTGGATGAACTGCAGTGCACACTTAACTGTAAATGCTATTCGCCGAATTCGTCCGGGAGCTGCATGCGAGGTCGCTACCCATAGTAGCGGAGTGCATCTGCATGGAAGCTCTCGAGATAGCGCACGACTCTGGACGCAATCCGAGAAATTGCCATTGTGCGTGCGCAGATTAATGAAGTGGAATAGCTTTGTGCTGAGGTGCGTACTTTCGTTTTTCCGCAAATACTGCATTAGTGACTCATTAGATGGAACAGAGGACGATGCACTCTGGGACGTTGCTAGTGAAAAGAAAGACGTTGTCGAGTCCGAGTGACAGGTTTGTGGCCTTCTTGCATTCAACTGCATAAGATTAGTGTCTAAATAGAAAGAAAGGTCACCACAGTGCAGCTGGTTATGTCGTGTATTTACCAAGGTAAGGGTGCGCAGCGATACTTTGAGATTTTTAAAAATTTCCTTTTCGGGGGGGGGGGGGGGGGGGGGGGGGGGGGGGTTCAAAGTTTGCGGGGTGGACCTATATTCCGGTCGAACCTACATGCCGGTTTTTACTGTACTTGGACTGTCCATTCTCATGTTTTACAAGGGTACTATGTTCAAAACTTGGCAGCATGCACCATGGTGGTATGGCGCTCAAGTGCGAACTCAAAGGTAGATGTACCAAATACCGGCTACAGCAACCCCATTTCAAAGGAGGCAAGGTGCTCGAAGCCGGTGTGTTTAAATTCAGGTGCACATAAAAGAACCTGAGGTGGCCAAAATTTTCGGAGCCCTCCACTATGGCATCCCTCATAATCATAATAAGGTTTTGGCACTTAAAAACAAACAGTAATTAATGAACAGTCAGCAGCATTTTCAGTAAATTCATACCTTAGAAAAGAGCTCGGTGATGTTCTGTGGCATGCGTTTGGGTGTTTTCAGGTCCGACATCCCATCAAACACGAAGCAGCGGCCAAACTGCTCACGGTGGTCGTTGATGAGGGCCCGGCGGATGCGGCTCGACTCGACCAGTGGCAAGAAATCCACATGGTACTGGTTGACGCACATCTGGGGCAGAGACTCCAGCCGGAAGTAGTTGGCCACCAGCTTGGTGGCCATGCCAGTCATGCCGGTCTTGTCTGTCATGTGCTTGGGCCGGGTGGCCACTACTAGGTCGTCCCGGCGGCCCCGGTGGGCACCACGGCCCATGGCAGCAGACGCGGCCATGGCAGCCGCACCCGAGGAAGTCACGACATTTTCGAATTGCTGTGGGTGGATTTTCTACACAAAGGGCATGATAAAGTAAGTAGTCTACTTACTGTACTCTGGAGACAACTTATAAGGCTTTGCAGCCAAAAACTACAGACAAACAAAAAATACATGCATTATCTCAGTGTCCAGATGCAGCTGTCACTGAGGTAATGGTAATACCATAAAGGCAACAATGCAATAAAAAAAAAAAACGATTAAGCACTGTGACATGTTTCTTAACACAAATGCTCTCTGAGAGGCAACCAACTGTATGCACGTCTCTTTATATTTGCACAGGATGACTTCTAGCACAGCCACTGGATAAAAAAACAAGGTGCAGCCTGTTGCGTGCTGCCGAAGCGGCGAGACGGGCCTAGTTAATCTCGTGCCCGCTTTGGCGCCACCCCTCCTCCAAGGACGAACGCCTTCACAAGCATTTCTATGCGGGACGGTAGGCCGTAGCATCGCGTTTCATAGCTGCACACCACAGGTTCGATTCTGAATCGTTATTATAAGTACCTATTACACCACATGTGTGAACAGTTTGCCCTATGATGGCCAATCATTTGTAGAGTATAGGCCTCAACACTCTCCATCAATGCTGCCCGTTTGACTAGCCTGAAATGAAAAGGGTCACTGATTCTGTTTATAGGGAGGCAATCGCCAGCAGATTCTAAGGGCTGACATATCAACCCACCGAAAAGCACCACCAAAGCACGCACAATTTAAATACTGTTTCTTTCAGTGCATTAATGATGCCGGTTGCGGTTCAAAGACAGTTGTAAAGCAACAGTTTACGCCCTGGGCGCTTTTTGATGCTTTTCTTGTTTCGTTCCGCAAACCCATGAAGAGCACGCTTGGCAGGGTGATTTGATGCTGTCGTCTAAAGGTAGTGGCGCGCAACTGCTTCAGCACTTGTTTGTGACAAAAATAAATGCTGTGTTAGGAATAATATGCATCAAGATATATGCATCCTGATATTGTAGATCGCAGGGGAATACGTCGTGCTTCGGCGTAGTCTTTTTTAGTGCTTGAGCTGCTAAGCAACGCACAACAGCTTTGTGGCGTCACACCACTAAAAAACAGTCTGCCACACAGGCCTGCACCAGTCATCATACTAGATCACAGGAAATATGAAGCAAACTGCCCCCCACACACGATCACACACGAAAAAGCACACGCACAAATCCTCACGCAACCGCAGTTGAAACGCGAAGATCCATCCGCTTTGACAGGTAGAGCGTCAGCGCCCTCCCCAAATTGTGATTGAAACAACTCTGCCCAGACGCACTCACCCATTGACGGCAACGCTACGCGTCAGGCTGCACCTTGTTTCTTATCCAGTGGCCGCGCTTGTTCAGTAGCTCCAACCTAGTAGCATTCGCTGCATCCCCACAGGGATGCGAGCAGTACCCGAGTACAACAGCGCGCAGTTGCATGCATGTACATCAGTCAAGCATCGAAAGTATAGCGCAACAGCAGATAACCACAAAAGTGAAAACCTTAAGTGCGCATAGAGCACTTTCAATACCGTGACAGTGGGCGCACACTCAGTGGCAAAGATGTAGTGCCAAATAAGAGCCAATACAGAAGTCTCCATGCTGTCCTATATAGATACAATCAGTTGTATAATAAGCTATTACGTGTAACAAAGTACGAATTCCGCAATTTTTATCCCTTGCCAATATAACTTACATTAGCTGGTAAAAAAGTGCCTAGTTTATTCTTATTCGTGACCAAGTAAGTTGTGCAATCATGCTGTAAATGTGCATGGTAAAAGGTGTGGTGCCTTCTCCCAGGAGCCTTGCTTTTCCCAGCAGACTCCTAGGAAAAAGAAACGATTGTATATTTTTACTGAGCTATCTATTTCAATGGAAACTGAGCTATTAAACGTTTCCTGCAGCAAATAATTCCTTAATCAGGAGGCTGACTACCTACTACAGAGGGTGATTAACAGCTTTAAAGTTCAATCATTAGAAATGTACTTAATTATATTATAGCACATTCTGACTTCTCATGACAGTCGCAATGTTGAAAAAGGAGAGAGGCCCAATATTAAGGCAGTTTTCACACCGTTGCACGATTCACCGAGTGCAGTGTTAAATGCCGCAAAAGATACGGCCACAGCCTACCTTCGAGCTGGTTGCATTGATATCGCTGACAGACATATGTTCGAAGGAGGAGGTCAGGCTGCCGACCTGCGACGAAAGTGTGGATGACGCGGGCGACGCCATGCCTGAAGTCATCATTGAAGAGGTTGGGGTTAGAGGAGGCAGAGGAGCCATGGCACCAGCCATGGCCGCCTGGGCAGGCATGGCATACTGCTGATGTCCATACATGCTGCTCTGTGGCACGGTGGACTGCGAATACCCGTACATGCTGGACGCCGGGCTGGCTGCCATTGCAGACTGTGTCCCGTCGAACATGCTGGCCGATGGGCTGGGTGTCGCCATGGGAGAGTGCGGGTCCCCAAACATGCTGGCTGCCGGGCTTGTGGGCACAGGGCGAAGGCGGCCGCGTGAGCGGCCCCGCGCTCGGCCATAGACTCTCTGTTCGTCGCCACTGTCCATAGCTGCCGATGTGGGGCGGAAATTGGGAGTACTGGGCAGCAATCTCTGCAGGAGAAAGTGATGTGGCACCTCCAGCTCTCAAAGCAGCAGTTTAACTGATTCACAATTTTTGTAACAAAATGTCCATAATAGAATTTTAAACCTTTGTGGTTCGTTGTCGGGCAGCACTCGACAGTGACACACGGCCGCAGCGGTCAATTGTGGGGCACTACTGGACAAACACTTTCATGGTTGATTCGCTCGACATTATGTGCCATCTCTGAAAAATTAAGTAAACCTATATTACTTGAGCTGTAATCTCTTTAGTTTTGGACCTGAACAGACACCTAGCTGATAGAGGCTACAGACAGCAAAGGTTGGAGTATTTCCTAAATAAGAACTATAGGGTCTCGAGGTTGTCAGAGCCAGGTAACTGAACTCCAAGTCCATCTTTTTCTACACAGTGAATGCATTTTTTTTATTATAGATATAGATAAAGAGAATAAGGACGAAAGGCAGGGAGGTTTACCATGGCTGAACCCCATAAGCTACCTTGCACTGGAGAAGGGGGAACAAAAGTTTGAGGGAGAGAAATGTTAACCTATATGAAATCTTATATGAAAAGAAAAAAAAATGCTATTCTGGCATAGCGGTTGGTATAGCTTTAGGTCCCTACCAAGTGCAGCTTAGTTGTTCTGAAACTGAAGGATAGCGTGTATCATGGGCACCCAGAGATTCCCATTAGTTTCCACTTCTCTGTTCACCAAATCGTGGATAAAGCTTCGTGCGAAAAATGCAGGGTTTCCCGTGCACAAGTATATAATCTTGTAAGGTAGATTTGCAAACTTGGTGTGCGACATGTGCTTCACTCTTTGCCGAGCTTTAGCACTCTAATAGTTCCCTGCTTGCCACAGCAGTGGACACGCGTGCAGTATGCAGCAAGCGTGTTGGGTAGTTTCCCCTGCAGATGTCGCAACGAAGGCGCCGATGGGAGGAGCCATTGCGTGTTCGACGAGCCGGTGGCGCTCCCTCTATTGCGCGGTGCAAGCTTCATCTCACGATTTCTGAACAACATTTAGCCACGTCAAGTCACATATTGCTATTGGTTGTTGGTTATTTCATATACATATATTACTCAAGACCTTGTTGATTTACTTCAACATGGTTGTGACCATTACCAACCATGCAACATGACACTGCACTACAAGCTGGGCTCTTAAAGCGCCCTCGACAAAATCATTGGCTTTCTGAAGATCTTGTACAGCAAACTTTTGGCTGAATTCTGAGGCACTGAAGCTGTCCTTCATAACCAGAATGAAGACAAGGATTTTATTTCAGATGCAGGGGAGGGGTCTGTCGTGCACCTGCCTTGCTTATCAGCCTGCATGTGTATACATGAGTGTACAAACTAACAGGGTGAGTACAGATTTGAAACGTGAGAGTACTCTAGGATCTTTAAGGCCCTGTGAAAAAAAAAATGTTTTTAAGATCAATGGCATCGAGTGGTATCTGATGTGGCAATTCTTGGCTACAGCAGCACTTTGCAAGATACTACAGTATTGAGCCTCTACTAGAATTCAGTGATGTTCACCCTCTCTTCAGCTAAAAATGCTATTAAGGCACTCTTCAAATAAAAAGAAAGTCAAAGAAACACCACCTAAATGTGCCACTATTTGCTTGACAGCATGAGTGAGAAAAAAAAAGTGGAACCATTGAAAGATCAGAAGCTTAGTAGGCCAAATGAAGTTCCTCAAAAATGAAGTCACAGAAACAAAAAAGAATTATGGGCAAATTGGCATGAGAAGTAGAGTATCATTTATCCAAAGTGTTCCTTTTAAGAGTCAGGGGGAGAGGAGCTGCAAGTTCCCAGCAAAAGAAACGAGGGCCTTGTTTATACTCTACAATTAGGAGTTCACATTAGTATGCTTCACTGCAACACAGACATGTCGAGCGAGAAGGGGCACAAACAGCGATAAGAAACCGCATGCAGTTTGAAACGTGGCGATTCTGCAACATGTACCGCAAGCTATGCCGATATATAAAATTATCTAGCATTGTGTTCCTCTTCAGATTTCATTTACTGCTAGTTCAACAGGTCATCTTTTTCTTCAAAATGGAGAACACCGCCAGGTCTTCACCGATCCGCCAGAGAAAGCGGTGTTGATAAGCTCGAAAACTCTCTTGAACATCTTTAGCAACTACATCACTCAAGAAATCCATTGAGCTTAGGAAAACAACACTTCTGACACCTTCAAGCACTTTGAAAACGCACCCGATTGAATTCAAGGTTTCAAATAGGTAGATGGCCTGTACGTATCGTATAAAAACGCCCGTGCCCATAGAGACGGGGTCCGTAAAAATGGAACGTGATGAGCGCGTCTCCCCTGCATGACTGGACATGCTTGGCACAGCAAAAGCTGCAGAGGTACCGACGCGAGGTGCGACCGGCGTCCGTTAGCGCGCCCCGGCGGCCACCTGGCACCGTGCCAAGGCACGGACGGACGGACGGAAGGGCGCGAGACGAAGGCTTTCGTTTTAATACACCTGAAAGTACGCGCGGA